CTCCTTCCCCCGCGCGCCGGCTCCCGAAATGGCCGAGCCCGGACACGCGCGGTGTCCCCCCGCCCCCCCGGTGACAGCGAGGGCTGCGGGCCCCGTCCACGCCCGCCGGGTTAGATGGGGGAGGGAAGAGACAGCCAGCGGCTTAGCCGCTGCTCTGGGAGCCGGCGGGGCCGAGCGGCCCGCACCGCCCCGCGCCAGGGCCCGTTCTTCCTCTGGCAATAATGTTCTGCAGCCTCGGGGAAATCCACCTTCGTCCGCTTGCTGGAGAAGTACAGCGAGGAGTGGGAAGTGATCCCCGAGCCCATCGCCAAGTGGTGCAATGTCCAGAGCACTGACAACGAGTACAAGGTAGGCTCAGTGCGTTTGTGGGGGGCAGGAGCCCCGGCTCCCCCTTCACTGCTGGGGGTTAGGTGCTGGGTCCCACCACAGACACTCTTGCTCTCCCCCCAGGAGCTTACCTCGTCTCAGAAGAGCGGAGGGAACCTACTTGGCATGCTGTATGACAAGCCAACAAGATGGGCTTACACCTTTCAGACGTTTGCCTGTTTGAGCAGAGTCAAGGCACAGCTGAAGGCCGCCTCGGCCAAACTGCAGGAAGCCGAGCACCCGGTGCAGTTTTACGAGAGATCGGTGTTCAGTGACCGGTAAGTCAGCTGCATCCTTCCTAGGGACCTCACGGGTCTTGCTAGCTTGCTGGACCTGTCTCACTTCACTGTCCAGGGAACTCAACTGTGCAGTTTTAGCTAGGATTGTGGAATTAGCTGCGACTGAAGTGAAACTACTCAACGCCTAGTTGTTCAGGAAGACACAACTAAAAACCCTATCTGAAGCTAAAGTAACTAGACAAAGCTAGAGTTCATGCTATGACTGTCCTGAGGAATCTGAGGATTGGGTTGTCAGTCCAGTAATTCTCATTAATGAGTCCTTTGTAAGCTGTATGAAGGATTCTCTACTTGGACAGTAGCTAACTAAGAGGTGCATTATATTACAGGTATGTGTTTGCTTCCAATCTGTTTGAGTCTGGATGCATCAACGAAACAGAATGGGCCATTTATCAGGACTTGCATACATGGTTTCTGAGTACCTTTGAACCAGATATGCAGCTGGATGGCATCATCTACCTAAGAGCCACACCAGAGGTATGGTTAGACTTATTCACTAAGCTCACATTCTCTCCGTTTGCGAATGCTGGACATCAACAGAAGCCAAAAGAAAATAGTGTACCTATTGTAACAATGACTGTTTTTGTGGTGCAGAAGTTACCTTTCACAGAAGTGAACTGAGGTGACTGCATTGTGCTGACATTGGGGAGTGGGGTCAAGCGAGGGTAGGAGGTCTCCAGAAAACTAACTGGAAACCCATGTGCAATCCAACAGAGCTCCATCGAGTTCTGCACTGCTCCTGCTAGTAGCTCCTTGTCTCAGCACCCAACATTGAATATTAGGACTTGGCCCAGGATGGGTGTACAGTATTTTGAGAGTTAGTCATTACTGTAAATTCTTGTGCTTTACATATCTAGGCTTTCAGTATAGGAAAAAAAAAAGTATTCATCATACTATATTTACACTGTAAAGAATAGATAAATCCAAGTGTGTTTCTCAAACCTGGGTTAGATAGTGCAGCTAGGCAGCCATCAGAACACAGCACCAAACACTTGCAGACAAGCAGCTCCGGCTTCCAGGTCACAAACAGGCTACAGCTGAACAAAGCCCTCTTTTTTCCAGACTGTTATTCTGATGTTGGCAACTGTAGAATGTGCTGACATCCAGCGCAGTCACTAAGGATCCTACACTGTCACAGAGAGCGTATGGTTCTGGTCTGTGACTCAACTGGTTTTATTTTTTAGCAGAAATAAATAATCTCCATTCCTTCAAATCTTTTTAGTGGAGAAACTGGAGAATCGCTGTCTTTCAATGCAAGTCCTTCAGATAGTCCAGAGGCACACACACAAATCAATGCTAGAGCCAAGGGGCAGTTATAAACGATCCTGTCAGCCCAAACATGGATTACTCAAAGTTGAGACTTATTGAGAGCCTGCTCATGCTTGAATCATTTCCATTCAATTTCATTTTTATTAAAGCAGTTAAAAGAATTAATTTTTAAAAATTTTTAAAATCACTTTAAGCCTTGGTTTTCACCTTAAAGAAGAGGAACACGCATCTACATTTGAAGGCACAAGAACCAAAAAGGAAGTTTAACTAAAAGAAGTGAATACATTAAGCTGCCTAATGTGCTGAATGCAAATAAAAGCACCCAAGCTGTCTTGAGAGACTGTTGAAGTCATGCAGTTGTCAGTGTAAAGAACACCTCATGACTGCTGCGCTGCCTGTATGAAGCAAGAGGCATGTTTGAGTGCACATACCAAACAACAATTTTAAGCATACCTTTGTTTACTCTTGCAGAAGTGCATGGAAAGACTGCAAATTCGAGGCAGAGAAGAGGAACAAGGAATCGAGATGGAGTATTTGGAAAGCCTCCACCATAAACATGAAACCTGGCTTCATGAGAGGACTATGAAGTATGAGCCCTTCTATATACATAACACTGCAGGCAGCTTGGGTGGTTAAGGCCTGACAGACTTATCCTACCGGAGGGGGTCAACTACAAAAGAATTTATTTAGAAGAGCTGAATTTAAGCTGCAGTAGCTATCTGGCAAACTTGTGAAAGATCCCCACAGATCTGCCTCCCTTGGTGTCAACCCTGGTGGGCACCCCAAGGATAATGATAAAATGGTTTGGCTAGGAGACCTCTCGCCCCACTGAATTAGCTCCATTTCCTGTAGTTCAAACTTACAACAGGTCCAGTCTAAGCACTTCGTAAGCAATTCAGCCCATCCCAGCAGAATTAACTTTCTGCTATTTTTCTTTAGAACACTGCCCAGCTAGATGCTTTCTAAATAATTACTGCCTCACTACCTTTAAAACTACCTATTGTAATTGAACTAGGGGTTCAGTGGGCATGTCTACATGAGATGCTACAGTGCAGTCATTGCTGTGCATTTATTTACTGCTTGCATCAGCAAGTAGTAAATAAATTCACAGTAACCAGTCAGCTAAAGGATGTTCACCAGTGCTACTGCACAGTAGCTTAAAATACTGCGCAGTAATGTGTCATGGCATGCACAGTGCTAACACACTACTGCACAGTATTATGTCTGCCACTGCACAGTGTCTCATGTAGACATGCCCAGTATTTATTATTATTACATTAATATTAATCCTGGTTTCAAAGTAACAAGTCGTGTAGCCATTAAGCTTCTCCACTGAAAGAAGCTGTCCATAAGAAGTCCAGGAACTCAAAGTGAAGCAAGGTATACTGCACATCTTTCTCAGTTCCCCTCCTGACTCTGTCTTTATATTTATTTGGGAATTATATTTTAATGTTCTTCAGCTGGACAGCTCTCTCTTTTGAAGCCTGAAGTGTGTTGCCAGATAGAGGGAATAGTGTTAAAATCCTGGCATTTTGCACAAGTTGCTGCCAGGATAGAGGCATGGCAACTACTTTTAAACCAAGTGTGCTTGACTTTTTGTAGATTAGTTGTCTCCTTTTCAGCAGAAACCAGGAATCAAGCCATGTCTCTGTAAATTACTAGACTCCTACCATTTAAACATGTAAATATTAAGCTACTAGCACAGTCTATCCCTAATATGATTAAATACAGGGGTGGAACTCATAACCTGAAATATTTAAGGGAGGGGCAGAGAGGAGAGTAATTAATGACCATAGTATGCAGTCTGGAGAATGTCTGCTTCCCATTTGCTCTCAGGGTTGGAATGGGAGGGAGAAAACAAGTTTCTTGTATTAAACTAGTTGAAGGCAGCCAAGTCTGCAAAGGCAGATCAAAATTTTGGATCAAGCTTCCTATTACACTTCAAATTTTAGTATTTTTCCTATTTTAGTAAGGTAGGGAAGGAGGACTTTAGAAGTAGCACTTGTGAGAGGGGGGCAGGGACAGGCAGCTCAGGGTCTACTTCCACAAGTTTATTAATTTTAACTCGTGTGCAAGCTGTCTAGTATGATCCCCCAACTGCCAGTTATAACCTATTGAAGATGCCACTCGCAGCTAAAGTTTTTATAAACAAAAGTCTACCTCAAATGGATTAGAGGTTAGTTAACAGCAGAGGGGGGCAAAGCAGCGAGCAGTATTTCAAGAAATTGTCCTCCTTAATCTTGTAATGAAGTCACTGTGCTGACAACCTATTTCCCAGCAAAAAGTTTTCATAAAGGATGAGTGTGTGGGATTAGAGGGGGCCACATCAGGTGAAAGGGACCTTCACCCAGGTCTAGGGATACTTATAAACAAAAGCCTCTTCTTTTGCCAAGAGAAAGATACTGATTCGGGGTCTTTCTTACAGGGTGGATTTTGACAACCTCAGAGAGATACCCATTCTGGTCTTAGATGTTAACGAAGACTTTAAAAACGATAAGATTAAACAAGAGGACTTGATCGATAAGGTAAGAAAACAAGGCTTTTTCAGGTGGTGATTACTGTACTCAAAAATAAGACCATTATGACTTACCAGTGTGAGCTGTTGGCTCCAGCAACTTCATGCTGGCAAGACCATAATTCAAAAACTTTATAGTCAAGCTGCAGTAGTTGGTGTCTCTTTGGCAATAACTGTAAATATGTTGGCAGAGAGATTTAGCAAGTTCAGCTCTCCATAATTTGGTAAATGTTGCTGGAGTTAGCTGTGAAGGGCTAGGAAGTCCCATAAGGGAAGTGAGGCCTGGAAGAGCACCAGCTCTGCCCTCTTCCTAGCCCCCGCAGACCCTATGGCAGGGGCTCCCAACCTTTTTAGATCACAGGGCGGCAAACCGCGGACCAGAAGTGACCAGCAAAGTGCAGACCGGCAGCCAACACTTTTATACTTTCTTTATAAAGTGTTGGCTGCTACGTCCACAGTACGCCGGTCACTTCCTGACTTCAGGTCTGGCAGCCGACCCGTCGCACACCGCGGCCCCGGGGGGTCGGGAACCCGTGCCATAACCCGCCGAACTAGCAGGGATGGAGGGAGAAGCGTGCAGGAACCCGCTGCCTCTTTTTCACACCAGTCAACGCAGGAAGATTCAGCAGCCAGGCAAAATACGAACTTGTTCCCATCCCCCCCATCCCGTGGTTTATGTTTTCAAGTCCCTTTAGGTACATCAGTCTGAAAGGCCCATATTTCTCTTATTCACACACGCCGAGGCTGCGTTTCCCCCTCTCCCTTCAGCGCGCCCTTCCCCACGCGTACAGTCGTCTCGGGACGTATCGCAGGTCGAAACCCCCCGGGGCGGAAGCAGCTCTCGGAGGCCGTTCAGGGCAGGACGGGACAGGACAGGACGGGCGCAGCGCGGTGCAAGGTGGCCGGTGCCTCTTCTTAGGCTTCCCTCGAGGACCTCAGGCCACGGCGGCAGCTGTTTAAAAGCTCGGCATTGCCTGGATGTCTTGTTTCAACAGGTCAAGGCTTTCCTGAAGTCCTAACCGCTGCGAGACGCCCCCCACCCGCGTGTGCCGGACATGCACGCGGCGCAGCGCGCCAGCTCGGCCCCCGCTTGTTTTTAATAAAGATTTTTAAGCCAGCTCGTGTTGGGGGGGGCGGTGACTTCCTGCCCGCGGCGCCCCCGGAACACAGCGGTGGGCGGGCGGGCGGAGCCGCGAAATGGCGGCGCGGCGCAGGGCCGGGCCCGCGCGGATCATGG